ATCACCTGCTTGCTGCTTATCATATCGGTCAAAGTGTACCGGTGGAGACAGTCTCGCGTCCTCTACCACTCCAACCTGCCTGTCATTCCGTATTGTCCACCTCGATACTCGGATACTTTGGGGACGGGGACTCTCCCACATGTGTACAATTTCGAGGTGTGCAGGACCACCGATTCCAGAAAAAGTGACATGAAGAATATGCAAGCCATGAGTCAAAGTTTAGTGAGTGTGGATGGAGCTGATGCTGACATGCTGCATATGAACAAGGAGCTGTCAGGAAACTGCTCACAGATGTCAACATTGGTGAGTCAAATGCTTTATTCTTTTTTGTTTGTTTCTTAACTGGAAACGGTCACACGTTGCCAGGTTAGAAGGTGGAGTTGCACACTTCATTGCAGATTTACAGTTTAGTTGCATGACTGGCATGTTGAGGTCAGTCTTACCTGTGTCAAAGTTACATTAAGTGTCACATCATGAAGAAATGAAGTGGATGGTGTCAATAATTATTCAATCCCTGACTATTTTTGAAGCCTACCAATTATAGTGTTTTATTTGAAGAGAGAGGCAGAAGTAAAACAGAGATTAACATTAGTGTGCTGTGAGCTGCACTCCATTCCATCTTTGCAAGGTGGTTTTGGCCATGGTCATTGTAGAAGACCCATTGTCTGGCTTCTGGATGAGGATGTTCTTGTCCAGGATTTTTTTTTCACATAATGACCTCTTTTTATCCAAGAGTGTCCAGAGGAGAAGAGATTTTTTACCTTTCTCAAGATTTACTTTTTTTCATCCAAAAGATGAGCTCTTTCGTGGACCTTTAGAAAGAGTGGTGGTTGTTTTTTCAGCTTCATTTTGAAGTACAAACTTAATTCCACTGAAGTTGGGACATTGTGTTAAACAGATATCGAACTAGAAATCAATGATTTTCAAATGAAGTTCAGCCTATATTTAATCTAATACGCTACAATGACAAGCAAATAATCATTATCATTGAATTTTATGGCTGCAAAAGCTGGAACAGGTGGCAAAAAAGACAGAAAAAGTTGAATACTCATCAAACACTTGTTTGGAACATAACACAGGTGAACAGGATAACTGGGAACAGGTGGGTACCATGATTGGTAATAAAAGGAGCTTCCCATAATTGCTCAGTCATTCACAAACAAAGTTCGAGCGAGGTTCACCTCTATGTGAGCAACTGCGTAAGAAAATAGTTCAACAGTTAAAAGGACAGTATTGCTCAATGTACAATTGCAAGGTATTTAGGGTTTTTCATATCTATGATCCATAATATCAAAAGGTTCCGAAAATGTGGAGAAATCACTGCATGTAAGTGGCAAGGTCCAAAACCAACAGTGAATGCCCGTGACCTTCAAACGGTCAGGCGGCATTGCATCAAAAAATTGACATCAATGTGTAAAAAATATCACTTCATGGGATCAGGAACACTTCAGTAAAACCAATGTCAATAAATTCAGTGCCACACTACATTCATAAATGTACCTTAAAACTCACCTATGCAAAGCAAAAACATTTATCACCAACATCCAGAAATGTCCCCGGCTTCTCTGGGCCCGAGCTCAACTAAGATGAACTGATACAAAATGGAAAGGTGTTCTTTGGTCTGACGAGTCCACATTCCAAATTGTTTTTGGAAATTGTGAACGTCGTATCCTCTGGGCCAAAGAGGAAAAGAACCATCCGGACTGTTATGGACAAAAAGTGAAAAAAAACAGCATCAGTGATGATACGTGGCTGTTTTTGTGCCAATGGCATGGGTAACTTCCACATCTGTGAAGGCACCTTTAATGCTGAAAGGTCCATATCGGTTTTGGCGAAAAATATGTTGTCATCCAAACGTCTTTTAGATGGATACCCCTGCTTATTTCAGCAAGACAATACCAACCCACATTTTACATGGGTTACAACAGTGTGCCTTCATATTAAAAGAGTGTTGGCACTGGACTGGACTACCTGCAGGCCAGGTCTCTCTCCCATTGAGAATGTGTGGCGCATTATAAAGTGTAAAACAGGACAGGAGAAACCTCGGACTGTTGAAAAGCTGAAGCTGTACATTAATTTAAAATGGGAAAGAATTCCACTGACAAAGCTGCAACAATTAGTGTCCTCACTTCCCAAACGTTTATTGAATAGTGGTAAAAGAAATGGTG